AAAAATATATGCATCTATAATTAAAAATCCGTGTAAAAAAACAACCAAGAATAATTTAGATATTCGCATTTTATCCTAAGGTGGCAAAAGGCCAGGTAGCAACGGGCCGGGTGGCAAAAGGCCGGGTGGCAGAAGACCGGGTGGCAATGGGACCGGGGCGTTGTTGAACGTCGGTCTGTGAAAGTTCATCCCGGGTCGCTATTTATTTCGAATTCCTGAATATTAAACTGATACCTGCAGCAGTGGTTTTGATACTCGCTTGTTAATGTTCAACATATGTAAAATTACATATTTTAAAATGCACATCTTTGATACATGATTTTTCTTTGGACAGAGCTTGAGGAAGATCCAAGAAGAGAAGGTGACCAAAGTACCGGACAAAAAAACCAATGGGGGAAAAACGTGTGCAATATATAGGGGAACGGGATATATGTAGAAGGGGACAATCATAACAAAGCAACGGCCTTTTCTGAAACGCAGGAAAAGCCAGATACATCTTAATGAATGTGATCTAAAAGCCTATCTTGGTTTTGTTTTATCAAGTGATACTAAATCATCAAAACATGTTCAGGATAGGATTAAAAAATGTAAAAAAGCTTTTTACTCGCTCTAAATGTACTGGAATGTGTAAAAACGGGTTCTTCCACAAATGTTAAGTCTCATATTCGGAAATCTATTACGCTTTCTGTTTTACTGTACGTGTGTCAATGTATGAGTATTAATAATAGTGCCATGTACACATTAGAAACCACACAAGGTAAACTCATAAAGGCAGCCATTGGCCTGTCAAAGTTTTCTAAAACTACACAATTTTATATAGTTTAAATATCAACGATGTACGTTATAAAAGTGTATGCAATCAACTCAGTCTCATCAATAAGATCTTTCAATTCAAAAGCTAGAAAATTGTATGCCTATCTATTAAATGTAGGGGTGAATGGCCAAAAAATCATTAGGAATACACTAATTGATGCTACAGAAAACAATTTCTTCCAAATGTTATACTTATCTTCAATACCATATTCAAAAGTTAACTTTTATTCAGACTAAGGGATCTTCATTTATGCTCTGTTCATTTATATTATGTAATTTATCACAGTTTGTTATCTTCTCTTGTATAGATGTTTGTGCCATACTCCTTTAAACCTGCAATGCAAATAACTTGTCAATGCAATCCCAACACATGAAATATAAATTTATATATTTATTTGTCATATCTTTTAGTTTTAAACCTAAAGGTTTACGCACTGATTAATCTCAGATAAGTATAGGCTAGGCAAATTGCATTTGAAGTCAAACAAATTGCAAACAAAGGTTTTTCTTTTTTAATCAAATACATAGGATGAGCAGATGAAATTCCAGAAATCACAACTCGGTTACACCTCGGGAACATATGCAAATTAGCTAAAATATGCAAATTATGTTGAAAACATTGGGTTCTCATATCCTGGCAACCGCTGGTCGCAGGAAGTTACTTTCTGTTTTAAATTAATCAGAACATGCATGTTTCTATTTGCACTAATAGAACATTTCCTAAACAATTAACAAAAATGCTGCAATTGACCTCTGACCTTATATTCACTGAATTTGCCTCTCTCTGGGGCTAATGTACATAGAAACTTACTTTAGGACTCAAATTACTTAAATGCATGTTTCTTTGCATTATATTAATAGAAGGGATGAAACTCTATAATCACATCATGGTCATGTACACTCTTCATATGCAAATTAGCTCTTAATTATGCGAATTAATAATGAAAACATAGGAATCCCATATCTTGGCAACCGCTGGTCGCAAAGAGTTGCTTTCTGTTTCAAATTAATCATAACATGTATGTTTGTATTTGCAACAATGCAACATTTGCCTAAAAATTAACGGAAATGCTACAATTGACCTGTGACCGTATATTCACTGAATTTGCATATCTCTGTGGATATTGTACATAATATTTAGGTCTCTTATTACGCAAATGCATGTTTCTTTGCATTATATTAATAGAAGGGATGAAAATCTATAATCACACAATGGTCACATATACTCTTCATATTTAAATTAGCTTTTAATTATGCAAATTAGGAATAACTATATCCCATATCGCGGCAACCGCTGGTCGCAGGAAGTTGCCTTCTTTTTAAGATTATGCAGAACATGTATGTTTCTATTCGCTCTAATAGGCAATTTGCCCTAAAATGACCAGAAATGCTACAACTCACCCTTGACCTTATATTCACTGAATTTGCATATTTCTGTAATTAATATCAGTGGAAACGTGATTTATGTCTCAAATTATTAAAATGCAGTGGTCTTTCTTCTTAAAATTCTTCAAAACATGCATGTTTATATTTGCTGTAATGGGACATATTGCCCACAAATAACCAACATCCTAAAATTGAACCTTGACCCTATAGATAATTACAGAATTTGCATACTGTATATCTCTGACACTAATGTCTGTAGTAACCTAATATATTGTTCAAATTCATGTTTTTTTTTAATTTTATTAAAGGGTATCTTAAACAATATATTTGTCACATGTCCCGTTCCTGTATAAAAAATATACGTCCTCGGCCTAATTATGCCAATTATGAATGAAAATATAGGGTTTTATATTTTGAAAACTGCTGGTGTCAAGTAGTTGCTTTCTTTTTTCACACTTTTTGAAGTTGCAGTTTCTATTTCCTTCAGTACCGTACTGTATATGTATGCACCGGTATAATTCAGGTTTTGATTCACTGTACAGTATATGTGATGAAATTCTAGAAATCACACCTGGCACTTGCATTCTCTATATGCAGTTTACTTAAATTTTCAATTCAATTCAAAGTAAAATTTATTTATTTCCTTTTCAATTCGTACAAAAATATAATACAAGATCATAAAAAATTTATGCAATGCAAATTAGAAGCAGAAATAGTTGCTTCCCTTTTTTGAAATTGTTCAGAGAATGCAGAAATGGGATATTTGATCATTTTGGAATATATTTATTATGTTCAAAATAATTATTTTTTATAAAATATTATTTCATGTTCTCTGTAATAAAACTGTTCAAAAGTCACTAATGCCCTCGTTTATTACCAGCTTCCCACTCTATAATTTCGTGTAACTCCAGTATTACGGGTCAAGATACTTAAAATTGGTCTCAAATTATTGACAAAATATGCCTATATTTTATATAATATATTTCTAATCTAGAGAATTTATGACAAAAAATGATCAGAACTCAAACATAATGTTGCCCATAACTACCGATCATTGGGATCATCTTCTATAGTTAAGTTTAAACATCTGTTGAATCTTAAAATCTGATAGATGATTTAACTTTATATGTATGTAACATCCTTTGGTCCTATATTGCACAAATATCAAAAGTGTAAATATATGGCTCAATATGAAACAATGATTTATAAGTATATTTAATGATAAGTATTATGTTAATGAAATTATCTTTTCAAACTTAGTCTCAGAGGGCTATCTTATTAATAATTTCTTAATGTGTTATAAGAAGAAGGCAAAATATATAATTTAAGGTATCCCAATTTCAGCCCCACCTCAACATCTTACCTCAATAGCTTCTGAAAAATGTTATTAGGTTCATCATCAATGACTATATCATCACATAAAAATGTTATATGACCAGGATAATGACCAATAATATAAGGTCAAAGCTCAATTGTAGCATGTCTTTTTACAGCAAATGTTTAATAAGGCAAATTTAAATATTCATATTTCTACGGAGCCCCTAAAGGGACATGGTTAAAGAAAATATTAAACTATTTCGAGGAAACGAAATAATATTTCGAGGGAACGAAATCATTTCGAGGGAACGAAAATGTCCCTTTAGGGGCTCCTTATAATTCACATCTACAATTTGAAAAAAAAAATTAGGATATAAGACCCTATATTTTCATTCTTGATTTGCATATATTAGAGCAAATTTGCATATGAATAGTGCATGTGATAATAGATTTTTATCCTTGCTATTATATTTTAAATAACCATTTAATAATTTGAAGTTTTGTAAATGAGGTTTCTACGGACATAAGTCGCAGAGACGCAACTAGTGAATATAAGGTCAAATGTCATTTGTATCATTGCTGACCATTTTGGTGACGGTGTTCTACTAGAGCCAATATAAACAAATATTCTAGCCATTGCCAAGATATGGGAATCCTTTATTTTCATTTCTAATTTGCACATTTTAGAGCTAATTTGCATTATGAACAGTACAATTGACCATGGTGTGATTAGATTTCCATCCTTTTGATTAATATATTGAAAAGAATCATGTATTTGAATAACTTAGGACCTAAATTAAGATTCTATATACATTAGTTGCAAGAATTCAGTGAATATAAGGTCAGAGGTCAATTGTAGTATTTCCGTTCATTTTTTGGGTAAATGTTTCATTAGAGAAAATAGAAACATGCATGTTTGAATAATTTGAAAAATAAACCAACTCCCTGCGTCCAGAGGTTGCCAAGATATGAGACCCCTATATTTTCAACCTAATTTGTATATTTTAGCTAATTTGCATATGTTCCCGAGGTGGACCAAGGTGTGATTTATGGAATTTCATCCCCTCATCATATGTACTTGATTAAAAAAGAAAAACCTTTCTTTGCAACTTGTTTGACTTTTTGCTCTTTTTTGAGCTACGGTACATTGCCTAGCCTAGTATAATACATACTCCAAGTATCGAAATGCACGCCATCGTGTTTGGATTAAATATTTCGACATTAATTATATCATCATCAGGGATGAAAACATATTTTATTTGCAGGCTTATATGCACAAGTACCAAACGTGTTTAACCAATCAAAACTTTACCTCTAATAGGTGACATAGCTGTGAATAAACTTAGGGCGTGTTTCTACTGAATAACGCCAAAAACACGTGTTTTTTTTATAAACGGTTAAATTCCTTCTGAACGCGTTTCTAGTGAAAAATGCAACAAATAAAAACACGGTAATGCGAGCATTGGCAGGTGGGCGGAGCTTAAATGACGGTCACCAACGGAAGTATGAAAGAAGTATGGTATGATCTGCAGGCATGTCATCCTATTGGTTTATTTTTTTTTTCTTCGCCCAAATTTCCCGCGGACGAGCAATCGCACCAACAAAGATGTCAATTTGCGTCACCGACGGGTCATGAATAACACGGTATTGCGCTGCAGCTGGAAAGTGTACCACAAAACACGCGTTTCCTGAACGCGAACCCTATAACGAATGCATGTAAAAACACGCATTTTTAGAACGCATTAATAACCCTGTTTTTTCTTTGTGGCCCGTTTCTACTGGGGAAAAACACGTGATTTTTAATAACCGTTTAAAAACACGTGTTTTTTGCTCAGTAAAAACGGGCCCTAAGAATGCTTTGATCTTTAGTTTATTCACAGCTATGTAAACTACTAGACATAATTTATTGGTTAAACACTTTTGGGTTATATTTTAATAATCTGTGTTTAACCAAAGTTTATTACATTTTTATTGTTATTAGCAACTAGCAAACTAAATTTTACTATTCACTTGCTTCCTCAATGACAATAAAGTATTCTTAATTCTTGATTTTTAAAGGAGATTGATAAGTTTTATTTAACTGTATATATTATGAATAATAATTATTGTAGAGATTTCAAAAAGAAATTAATATTTACAGATTGTAAGGATCATGGTATATGCGATAGCATAAAACTAAAATGTATTATGGAACTTACATATTTTTCAATAACACTTGGATGTCATCTCATTAAATTATTATTCAGGAGTTTCTGATCTGTACGAATCAGCGAATTTTAACCACCATCGTAAATTGTTATTTTGACAATTAGGGGCCTATTCATTCTAATGTGCATAATTTTATGTATTTTAATGTGTATTGGTGTTTTTTTTTTTTTTTGCTTTTGTATATACTCTCCAGTTTGCGAGGCATCTTGAATAAATTGAGAAATATTTAAGAAATAATAATATAAAGAGACATTAACGTAGAGTGATTTATACATTAAAATTATAACTAAAATTAAAATCATATATTAAGGCCGGTTTCCGCAGCACTTACAATTTCTCAGATAAATTTTCAAATAAATTATCTTAAAATTCCCTCTAAATATTTTATCATATTATGCAGAAATTTGGACAACAATGTAATGTGTTTAACACCAATCCGTTTTGTTGACCTACCAGGTAACCATTTTTTTGCTCATGATGAATAGGCCTAGGCAAAAAACGAAATCGATACTGTACTATTTCGCTCTGGGGAAATCTACCGGTACTGTTGCGATGATGTCTCATTGTACTTCTATATAGGGAGTGAGAAGAAGACGAAAAAGGATGTTTGGTGCGCTTACGGTACACTAAACAATAGTAGGGATAGACCTAAAGAAAGCCCAGCCAAGCTCCGTCAACATCGAACACAGCCTACTTTTCATTTTTTTTTTTTAATGTCTTGAGCACGAAAAATTTACTCACATTGTATTTTGAAGTGTTTGATTATATAGCCTATATAGGCTTACTTATACGACTTAAGTTAGAATAACTTAATGGATGGTTATGGATTTAACCTCTAACCTCAAGGTTAAGAAGTAGAACTACAACCGCTGCGCCAAACCGCAATGACTAAAGCTGGTTTTTTCACAAGGCAAATTTATTCGCGCGAATCAAAGTGTCGGTTCGCATCCTGAGCTCTAAACCTGTTTTCCACTAGGTGACTTTTCGCGCAAATCAAATCTTCGGTAAGCTTTCTGAGCTCTGAGTGGCTTCGCAAAAACCTGATAGAAATGTGAATGCGCATGCGTATGAACCGACGCTTTCGATTCGCTTAATTGGTTGCGCAATTTTTCGCTTTGCTAAAACTCGAAAAATGCGCAACCAATCATCAGATCTCAGGATGCGAACCAATGCTTTGATTCGCGCGAATAAATGCGCTTATTGAATTTAAACTAGTTTTACGGATAAGATGACGCTACGACAGGTTTTTGTTATTACTGAGCATTATTGTTATTATTATTTTTTATTTAGAAATTAACACAATTTGTATTACTACAAATAGGTTTTCTTTCCAGAATTGGTCATGTAAAGACATTGTCTTTGTCATTCTCTGTATATCAACGTGTGTGGCCAACTATGTTTTTGGAGTTGCTTACAGCTTACCAAATAAAAAGAGAAGCATCACGAATAAACCTTTCACGTAAGTAGGTATAATCAGGGGCGGATCAAGAGATGTCCAAAAAGGGGTGGGGTGCCGAAG